CTTGGAAGCAAGAATGGCCAGACTTCGTCTCACCTATTTTGGTCATGTTGTAAGAAGGGACCATTCCCTGGAGAAGGATGTCACGCTTGGTAGGTGGAGGGTCAACGAAAGATGGGGAGGCCTTCAACGAGATGGATTGACACGGTGGCTGCAATGATGGGCTCAAGTATAGCAGGGATCGTGGGGCTGGAGCGGGATCGGGCAGTGTTTCGTTCTGCTGTGCATGGGGTCACTATGAGTCGGAAACGACTCGACGGCACTTAACAACAACAACAACAAAGGAGAAGCACAGAAATCATGCTTATTAAAAGGCTTGAATCATTAGCCATCCAGGGAATGCAAACCAAAACCACATCGAGATACTACTTCAAAGTTACTAGAAAGACTACAGTAAAGAAAGACAGATAATAACAAATGTTGACGAGGATATGCAGAAATTAAATCCCTCATGCACTGCTCTTAGTAATGTAAAATGGTCCCGTTGCTTTGGAAAACAGTCTGGCAAGTCTTCAAAGACTAAACAGAGAGTTACCATATAATCTAACAATTCCACTCATAGGTATATATCGAAGAGAAATAAAAACAGGTTCACACATATAGTTCCAATTAATATTCACAGCTACATTGTTCATGTAACTTAAAAGTAAAACAAAACAAAACAAAACAAAACAAAACTCAAATGTCTATCAATTATACATGTATAAATGTAATGTATTTAATGTAGTGTTTTCATACAATAGAATATTATTCGGTAATTAGAAGAAATGAAGTACTGACACATGCTACAACGTGGATGAACCTTGAAAATTTATGCTAAATGAAAGAAGCTAGTCAAAATGTCACATAATATATGATTTCATTTATATAAAGTATCAAGAATAAGTGTATCCATAGTCACAAACTCTTAAAGTGAAAATTGAACAGTTTCATTACTATCACATGCAAGTAAAATTTTCTGAAGATAATTCGGGAATACTTGCAGCAGTACATTGATAGAGAACTTCCAGAAATTCAAGCTGAATTCCGAAGAGAACATGAAATGAGGCATATCATTGCTGATGTCAGATGGATCTTGGCTGAAAGCAAAGAATACCAGAAAGATGTTTATTTATATTTTATAGACTATAATGGGAGTTCTAGAACACTTCATTGTGCTCATGAGGAACAGGTACATAGACCAAGAGGCTGTTGTTCAAACAGAACAAGGGGATGCTGCATGGTTTAAAATCAAGAAGGGAGTGTGTCAGGGTTGCATCCTTTCACCATCCTTATTCAGTCTGTACGCTGAGCAAATAATCCAAGAAACTGGACTATATGAAGATGAATGTGGCATCAGGTTTGAAGGAAGACTCATTAACAACCTGTGATATGCAGATGACACAGCTTTACTTGCTGAAAGTGAAGAAGACTTGAAGCACTTACTCATGAAGACCAAAGACTACAGTCTTCATTATGGATTTCACCTCAGCATAAAGAAAACAAAAATCTTCACTACTGGACAAATAAGCAACATCACGATAAGTGGAGAAAAGATTGAAGTTGTCAGGCATTTCATTTTACTTGGATCCACAATCAGCCTCTTTGGAAGCAGCAGTCAAGAAATCAGTCATATTGCACTGGCAAATCTGCTGCAAAAGACCTCTTTAAAGTGTTAAAGAGTAAAGATGTCACTCTGAAGACTAAGGTGCACCTAAACCAAGCTATGGTATTAGCATTCACTTTATATGCATGTGAAAGCTGGACGATGAGTAAGGAAGACTGAAAAAGAGTTGATATCTTTAAACTGTCATGTTGGCAAAGAATATTGAAAATACCCTGGACTGCCAGAAGAATGAACAAATCTGTCCTGGAAGAAGTGCCCCAGAGTGTTCCTTGGAAGTGAGAATGGCTAGGCTTCCTCTCACCTATTTGGTTATGTTGTCAGATGGGCCCATTTCCTGGAGAAGGATATCATGCTTAGTAAAGCAGAAGGTCAGCAAAAAAGGGGAAGACCCTCAACAAGATGGACTGACACAGTGGCTGCAACGATGGGCTCAAGCATAGCAAGGATTGTGAGGATGGCACAGGACCAGGCAGTGTGTTGTTCTTCTGTACCTAGGGTTGCTATGAGTCAGAACCAATGATGGCACCTAACAACAACAACACAGTCACAAATATCAGATTAGTGGTTGCTAGGGCTGAGAGTGTGGGAGGATTGGGGGGAAATGGAAATGACTGCTAATGAATATGGAACTTCTTTTTCAGGTGATAAAAAATATTCTAAACTATCAATGGATCAGAGAACAAGTGAACATATGATCACATTGGGGAATTGCTCAGTGCTGATGTGGTTGTTAGTCTTGGTGGGATGGGGCATTGCAGGGCACAAGAGATCTTATATAAAGAGAACACTGTTACAATTGCAGACAGAATGCTTATGTCTTTCTCCAAATAAGAATCATTTTCCAGAATGAAAAATATTGATCTAACCACTGACCTTACAAGAGAATCTGAGTTGTCCAGCCAGGGCCTGTTTGACCTCCTTTTTTCTCAGGCTGTAGATGATGGGGTTCAACATAGGAGTTATGACACAGAAGAGCACAGAGATCAGGATGTCGATGTCCAGGTTGTAGCCTACATCAGGTCTGTCATAGTTGAAGTTGGACATTCCAAAGAAGACCACCACCACAGTGAGGTGAGAAGCACAGATAGAGAAGGCCTTACTCCTGCCCTGAGCAGAAGGAATCCTCAGGATGGCAGAGATGATGAGTATGTAGGACACTGCGGTAAACAGGCAGGGGGTCAGGCCAATGGTGGCACTAGCTGCATGGAGCACAGATTCATTGATGGAGGTGTCTGAGCAGGAGAGCTTCAGGAGCAGTGGGATGTCACAGAGAAAGTGGCTGATTTGGTTGGGTCCACACAGAGTGAGTGTGGCTGCCAGCACTGTGTGTGTCAGGGAATTCACCATCCCACACAGCCAGGATCCATTCACTAAACACACACAGACTTTCCCACTCACAAGGACTGGATACTGAAGAGCGCGGCAGATAGCTGCATAGAGGTCATAAGCCATAGTAGCTAACAAGACACTCTCAGTGCCAGCACAGGTTATGAAGAAGAAGACCTGAGAAAGGCAGCCCTTGTATGAGATGGTCTTCTTCTCTTGCAAGAAGTTCACTAGCATGACTGGGATGGATATGGATATATAGCAGATGTCTAAGAAGCTGAGATTCCTGAGGAAATATTACATTGGAGTTTGGAGGCGAGGACTGACCCTGATGGCCACTATTATGAGTGTGTTCCCCAAGAGAGTTGTCAGGTAAATGACCAGGAAGACCAAGAAGAACAACCCCTGTAGATTGGGGTGGTTGGAAAATCCCAAGAAGATGAATTCAGTGACATCTGTTTGATTACGCATCTCAAATGGTGTCACAGCTACAAAACAATGAGAAAAGAGAAATCATACTGAGAATTTACAGAGAGTAACTTGAATGAATACTCTCAAATAATGGCTATGCCAAATAAAGTTGGACATAGACTTAGTTTACTCTTTGTACGATGTTATTAAGAGGGTCTATCTCATTGTTTCTGGAAAAATGAACATGGACAATATAAGCAATATCCCTGGAATATTATAGGAGCTCAATGAACTTTAGCTATCATTCTATTATTTTTAATCCAGACAAAAATTTTTCAAGATAAAAAATATTCTTTGATGCTACCTTACAAATCTATACAAATATGACTGTTTCTGACCACCTTCACCACCAGTATTCCAATCCAATTAGCCATTTACTCTTGCCTAAACTACTGCTCTGGTAGCACAGTGCCTAATGCATTTGATTGCTAACCAGAAGGCTGGCAGTTCAAACCCACCAGCCACTCCTTAGAAGGAAGATTGGGAAATCTACTTCTGGAAAGATACCACCTTGGAAACCCAAGGAGGGTTTGCTATGAGTCAAATCAACTTGACAGCAGTGAGTTTGGTTTTTTTTTTTTTTGGTTTAGACTACTGCAGTAGCCTCCTATCAATGTCCCATTTTCTTTCATCTCTGTCCCTATTTAGTCTGTTTCCTCACATTAACAGACTTTTATAATGTAAACTAAATCATGCCACTCTCATGCTCAAAATCCTCCCATCTCACTTAGAATAGAATCCAAAGATCTTACCTTCACCTACAAAGTCTATGGGATCTGACCTCTGGCTAACTCTCTGATATTAATTTCTACCATTTTTCCTCTTTTCTTACCCAGTTCCACCTACACAGGGCTGCTTTCTGTTTTTAAACTATACCAGGTGCTTTCCCACCCCATAGCTTGTACTTTTTATCTCCTCTGCCAGGAAAAATTTTACCCAGATATTTGCAAGATTCATTTCCTATTCTCATTGAGATTTTTCCTGATCAGTTTCTTCCTCAGGGATACTGTTCTTAAGAATTGTGTGTAAACTAGCAGCCCCATCACTGTGTACACTCTTTCCAGCTTTATTTTTGTTTGTGTTACTTATGCTAGACCTGACATATATTCGTTTCTCTATTTGAATCTGTTTATAGTGTAAGTTCGTGAGGTCAGAGTTTCAGTTTTATTCACTATTCATACCTAATACTGAGGAGAGTGCCTGGCATATAGTACATGCTTAATAAATACTCATTGATTGAATGAATGAATTTATATTATTAAAATGATACTGGAATTAATTTTTTCCTGTGGAAAAAAATCTAGTCAATTTTTTTTTCCATTTTTCCTAATTATGCCCAATTATTCTTCCTTGTATTTCTCTTTTGATCTTTGATTATCATCACATTACTTTTTTTTTTAATCTTTACAGTAGAAAACTATATGCAGTGATATAGATAACAATAGCAGCACAATGTCAGAGGGAAGTAAATGGGTATATCAATACAGGAGACTAAATAGAATAATAATCAAAGAGCCAAAAAGAAAAGTTAGACACAAAAAATTAGACCAAAGAAAAATTAGACAGGTTCACAATCATAGTTGGAGATTTTAAATACTCCTCTCTCATTAAAATTGATATAATATGCAGACACAAAATTCAGTATGGATAAAGAACATTTAAACAACACAAATAATCAGCTTGACATAATTGGTTTTTTATAGAATATTATAATTGACAATTGCAGATAAGCATAATAGATGAAAACACATGGTGCAGTTTCTAAAACAGGCTGTAAAATTGACTACAGAGCAAGTCTCAATAAATTCAGAAAGATTGGAATAATTTAAAACATGTTACCTGCTCATAATGAAATTGCATTAGAAATTAACAACAAAAAGATATCTGAAAACTCCCCAAATATTTTGAAAATGAGCAAGCATTTCTACAGAACATATGGGTCAAAAAAGTCATAAGGGAAAAAGAAATATTTTGCATGTAATAACAATGAAAACACAGCACATCAAAAAAATTTGGGTACAACAAAAGCAATGCTCAGAGGGAAATTTTGCCTTTTCATGTCTACATTAGAAAAGGAAAAAAAAAAAAAAAGTTTAAAATCAATATTTCTAGGCTTCCACCCCTAGAAGTATTTCTAGTTTATTGGTTCAAAATAGAAGATAAAATTAAACCCAAATAAAATAGAAGAAAAAATAATAAACAGCTGAGGTCAATAAAATAAAAAACAGACTATAACAGGAAATCCACAAAGCCAAAAATTGGTTCTTTGAAAAGTTTTATAAGATTGAAGCACCCCTAGTAAGACTGGCCAAGGAAATTTTTTGGAAAATATAAATTACCAAACTAAAGAAGGAAAAAAGGATACCACATCAGATCCTATAAACATTAAATAGATAATAAGAAAATGTCAAGAACAACTTTATTCCAATAAATTTGACAAATTAGACAAAATGGACAAATTCCTTGAAAACCACAATTTTCCAAAGCATAAAAAATTGATATAAAAAGAAAGAGAAATCTGAGTAGTCTTATATCCATTAAAATAAAGTTAACTTGTTATTTAAAACTTTTCCACAAAGAAACTCCAGGCCCAGATGGTTTCACTGGTGAATTCAGCCAAACATTTTAAGAAGATAAACTATAATATTACAAAAACTCTTCAGAGAGCAGAAAAAGAGGTAATACTTTCCAACATGCTTGATAATGGCAGCAAAATTTTGATACCAAAATGTGATAAGGCCGTTACGAGAAGAAAATTCTCATAATTACAAGCTGAAAAGCTAATATCCCTCATGAACATTGACACTAAAATCCTGAACAAAATACTAGCAGATCAAATAAAGAGATATGAAAAAAGGATTGTACCCTATGAACAATTGTGGTTTATATCAGGAATGCAAGGTTGTTTAAACATTTGAAAATCAATCATTGAGACAACCTACAGCATGATAGGAAGTATTTGGTAACCATATACCTGATAGGGGTCTAATATCCAGAATACATAATGAATCCCTAAAAGTCAACAACAAAAAGACAAACAACCCAATTAGAAAATGGACAAAGAGCTTGAATAGATAGTTTTCCAAACAAAATAATCAACGTCCAATGAGCACATGAAAGGATGCTCAATGTCATTAGGGAAATGCAAATCAAAACTACAATGAGATACCACTTCACACTGACTAGAAAGGCTATCATCAGAAAAATGGAAAATAATATATGTTGGTAAGGATATGGATAAATTGAAACCTCCATGCTTTGCTGGTGAGAATGTAAAATGGTGCATTCATTGTAGATAACAGTCAGGTGGTTCTTTAAAAAGTTGAACTAGAGTTACCACATCAACCCAGAATTCTACTGCTTTATTTATAACCAAATCCTTGAAAGCAAGGACTCAAACAAATACTTTTGAGTACACCAGGGTTCACTGAAGTATTATTCTCAATAGTCAAAAGGCAAAAACAACCCAAATGTCCACAAACAGATGAAGAGATAAACAAAATGTAATATATTCATGCAGTAGAATAGTACTCAGACATAAAGAGGAAATGAAGTTTGATACATGCTATGACATGGATGAACCTTGAAATCATAATGGTGAGTGAAAAAAATCAGACACTAAAGGACAAATACTGTTTCATTCCACTTATATGAAATATCTAGAAATAGGCAAATGCATACAACCCAAAGTTTATTAATGTTTGCCAGGGCCTGGGAGAAGAGGTAATGAGGAGTTATTCATTAAGAAGTAATACATTTCTTTCTTGGTTGATGATAAACTTTTGGAAATTGATAGTTATGATTATTGTACAACATTATGAGTATAATTAATGCCACTGTTAAAATGACAAATTTTTGATATATCTATATTTACCACAATAATTTAAGTTAATGTCATCCTCACATAAATAAAATAATGGAGAAAAAAAATATGTGAACATTTTAATAAATGTATAAAAAGCATTTGATAAAATCAACACCCATTCATAATAGAAAAAAAAATTCAACAAACTAGAAAAAAATGGTCACTTTTAAATCTGGTAAAATGTTGTTATCAACATACTTGATGGTGAAACTTTCTGTGTAACACACAGAAAAAAATCAGAATGTCCCTTCTCACCAGTATTTAAAAAAGTTTTACTAGAGATCCTACCCAGTACAATAAAGCAAGACAAATAATTAAAAGACATAAATGTATAGATGAAAGATGTCAACATGTCTTTAACCATTGATATCATGATTGTGTATGTAGAAAATGAATGAACAAAGTAATATTTAATGAAATCTTAGGAAGCAAGGTTAACATATAATACCAATTGTATTTCTATAGTCAGAAAACACTAGAAATGTACTTTATAATAATATCATTTTCAATAGTGTCAATAGTAATTATGTGGGAATAAATTTAACAAATTGCAACAATTCTCCATTGTAACGTACAAAATACTGCTGAGAGAAATTAAATAAGACCAAAGTAATCTTACAGATTCAATGAAATCTCATTCAAAATTTCAGCTATCATTTTTGAAGAAATTGCAAGCTGATTATAATATTTATATGAAAATTCAAAGGACCAAGAATAGTAAAGACAACCTTAAAGAAGAAAAGTAAAATTGGAGGATTTACACTTCCATATTTACAGAATTAGCATAAAATTAAATCATTAAGATAGTATAATACGATTGTAAAGAAAGACAAATGGATCCATGGGAATAAACAGAATTCAGAAACAGACTCACACACACATATATATGGTCCAATGATTTTCAGCAAAGTTGCCAAGGCCATTTAATGGCATAAAGAAAAACTTTAAATAAATGGAGCTGGAACAACTGAATATATGTATGGAAAAAAATAAACTTGACTCTCAACTTACTTAAAGGACAAATTGGTCATATATATATATATTTAAGTTTATTTCATTTTATGTTATTGTTTAGAATATAGACAGTAGAAGCAAGAAAAATCAAATTCAGCTATTGAGTCAATTCTGACTCCTAGCAACCTTCATTAGGTTTCCAAGGCTGTAAATCTTTACAGAAAAGCAGACTGTCTCATCTTTCTTCTGTGGAGCATCTGGTGAGTTTGAACCACCAGCTTTTGGTTAGTAGCCAAATGCCTTAATCAACACACCACCAGAGCTCCTTACACACAGTAGAACATACACCAATACAATAATCTCTACATGTGCAATTCAGTGACACTGATTACATTCTTCAGGTTGTGCAACCTTCTCACACTCTTTCTAACTTACTCCTCTTCCACTAATGTAAACTCATTGTTTCCTAAGTTTCTTATTTTATCTTTCAAATTGCTGTTGTCAGTTGGATTCCATGTAGATCTTAAAAAACCACAATGCTCAAAGCAGACATACTTTACTAGATAAGCTAAACTATTGTTTGGTTTAAAGAAGCCTACAAGGGACTTCTGGGAAAATGGCAGAATAGGCAGACAAGCTACATAAATGCTCTACAACAAAAGAATATGAAACCAACTGAAACAGATAGAGATGGTAATCCTGGAGCCCTGACCTTTGAAGAGAAGGATAAAGAACTGGATTAAATACCGACTAGCAGAAGAAATAGAATGAAAACTGAATAAAGAGACAAACAGAACTGCAGACTGTCAACTGGCCTGACAGTGCAGCTATTTTGAATATTTTAAAACAGAGTTCAGATCTGGGCAGCAACCTGATAATTGGTTCCACTTGCTGAAGACTGCATGGACAACTAACTACACGGGGGATGATGACCAGAAAGGTGTGATACTCCCCTTGTTCCTCTTGTACTTCACACCCTCCTGGTGAATGGAGGTG